ATATACCAAATGATGCATTGTAATCTCATTGTCGAACTCAATTTATTTTTCCTCTAGATCTCTGGTCATCGGTCCAGTATGCATGGCGGCAATAGCTTACTCGATATTAGCGTATGTAATCGGCATTTTGCCGGCACTAGAGGTGATTGGGCTGGTCCTCTTAACGTTAGAAGTCATCTGGTACTTCTACTACCGGTATCGTATTCGGGCCCTATCTGAAACCTTGGTATGTGCCACTTTCTGCTGTGTACTCAAAGTTGTGATCTTGTTTGTACCATCTGTACGACGCATATACGACGAAGCGAGGGGTTGTATCTGGACATGCCAAAAGCCTTACTGTGGGTATATGATCTATGTAGATATACTGCCTAGCGTGATTGCTGTATATGTTTGCGCCAACTTGAAGAGAGTGCAGAGACTTTGTGGTGTTGTTAGTGCTGATGTTGTTGAATGATGACATTTAGTCGTCTGAATCTATGTTTTGAATAGTTCGCAGGCTCGCCTAGTGATAAGTCATTTCATTCAGTGTTCTTGTTTATCACATAGGTGCTAATTTTCTGGGGGTCTAGAGGGATGTCTGCTGCGACATATCTGTATCTTATCTGAGTTGAGTGTGCTTCTGATCCTGTGCCACTTTGGGTGTTCAGCATTCTAGTCTCATATGATGGCTCACCGAACAGTCTGAATCTATGGCGCATAAAGTTCTTAATACACATGTGTCATGTGTATGGTCAAATACCTCGTTCACAGCTTGTGCGAATCACCGGTGGTTGCGCATCGAAAGTCTCGTCGGTTTCTCATATTGAAATATCTGTACCTACGCTCGCAGGTCACTTCACCCCCCTACGACGACTACGAATTCATCCTGGAGAATATCATAGACTATGTCTCCGACAATGGCAACGTCTTTTTTCCGTTGTGGTTTCAGAGTCGCAATGTCGAGAGTATTACCCGAAGGTATGTCGGTAAATGGGAAACAGTATGGTTTCATGTGTATCTTTATTAATGCACTGGTTAGGCTATTTTCGGAGTGGTGTTCCGGAAGTGGTATTTTTTAGTCAGTTCTCCACAGCACAGCCTGTACATGATTAAGCTGTGCTATTCAGCCTAACACTGTGGTGAACATACGAATGAATCTTCAATAAGTTCTACATCTATGTATATATTTCTTCATTTATTCGTTGGTTTATCCCTTGCGATTTCGTCCAGAGCTACACGCTGTATGCGATGTTTGGTTCATGTCGTCCAACACCCTGTTTTAAGCTGTAAAAGTGTTCCACCTCACGGACGTCTATCTTGTATCATTCATCACATATCTGCAGCGAGTTCCGAGCTATGTTTGCGGCCAACTATCACCACAAGACAGTTTCCGAGTTAACACCGTACGAAGCAGAAATGTTTGAGAGAATGTGCACGAGTTTTGAGGATCGTGTGGGAGCTAAGTTTATGGTTCAGGATGCAAGCACAGATAAGGTAAAGCGTAGTTGTATTGTTTTTGTCGGTAAGGCACATGTTTACTACTTCTACGTTATCTCTAGAGTAGGAAAGAGCATCCTTTGGTGTCAAATCACATCAACCGAGTATACGACTGATGCTTTAGTAAGGTCAAATTAGGCCCATTTCGAGCTGTACTGGGCAATATAACCAAGGTCCGATGCTCCGGTAGGACGTTTCAGGGCATTGATCAGTGAGCAACTACTATTTTATAGCTAATTGCGTTTTCATCGTGCTCACTCGATTTGGATTGGTTCGATCGTAACCAGTCGTTTGCTGTAGGCTTGATACTTGATTGTATTTCTTTCTCGAGGTGCGGGTGCGCATGCGCACTCTGTTTCAATACCATGCAGTTGTGTGGGGTATGTACAAGGCAACCCGGTGGTTGTGTGACCGCAAACATACTCAAGTCCATCATTTGCTGGTACCACAGGTAAAAGGCCTACCTGCACGCGTGTACTACGACGACAGCGAGGAGCACCCCGTGGGCTACATGCAGCACACAAGGGACGATCTCAAGGTCATCCACCACCCACTCTTCCTGTATCTTTGGTCACACTTATCGAACGTATCATGTACCATAGTACTACGCTACGTCTTGGGATTCACGGACGTATTCGATCAAACGACCAGGATATGGTATTGGGTGAAGAGGAGCAAGAAGAAGGTCACACAAGAGGTGAGAAAGTCTGTTCAACTTCATGATTGTTGCTATTGTGTTTGCGTAGACTCGCTCGTATGTCATTAGAAGTTTGTGTTCACTTACGAGCGGAGGCTTGCGAGATGTGAACGTGCTATTATTGGTGTGTATTCGATGAACTGGACTCAAATCGATCTTATCCTGGGCATTGGCGAGTGCCCATGCATGTTTAGGTAAGTAGCCTTATTTTTCTTCTCCTATAGTACGGGTTACACCTCGTTTTTATCCTCACTTGGCAGGATTATGTTAATCATATAGCTGTTGAACGTGTTTTCGGCTCAGCCTTGGGAAAGGACTCCCCGCGAACAATTGTTCATCCTGATAACTATCCCCTGTACTGCACTCACTAGGCATATGGGACGTTTGACGATGCCGCCAAAAGCACGCCGGCGGCTAGAAAACCGATTGTATTTGCTCATGGTATGGGCGTGGGGTTGGGCCAATACCTGCATATCGTTTGGAGACTGTGCCACATGCACAACTACTTGGGTGAACCCGACAAGGACGGTGTGACAGAGGATACATCAGGGGTCGATGACAGAGATGTGTACCTCATGGATATGCCGCATATAGCGTTAAGAATATGCGAGGATGTGCCCACAGTGGATTCGCTTGTAGAGACCATTAAGGTATTATTAATATGTCTTGCAGAATATTCATACTTCGTTCGTGTCGGCTCCAAGTCTTGGCGCGTGTGTTGCTTTAAAAGTCAGAAGTACTATGCCTGTGGACCAAATAGTTTGTCATATTCGCAGGCGATACGACTGATCAATACGTATACTGTACTCTTCATGTCACTTTCTTACAACTGTTCGCGTTCACTCTTTATGTCACTCACTTACAACCGTTCACTCTTTTTGTCACTTACTCACAACCGTTCACGTTCAAAATCTGGGATTCCCACAGAACTTCCTGCAGAAGGACGGCCACGATTCAGCCGTGTTCGTAGGCCACTCCTACGGCACCGTGGTGCTCGCACGTATGGCCAAAACGAACAAGCATTTGATGCACACAACGGCCTTCATCGATCCAATCTGCTTCTTGCTGTTTGTACCGGACATTCTACACAGTTTTGTGTACCGGTCTCCGGCGGCGCATTGGTTCCAGTGGTTGCGCTGGTACTTCTGCAGTCGGGAACTGTATATGCAGAATGTGCTGTGCCGAAACTTTTGGTAAGTATGCGAGCGTGGAATGGTACTCGCTTGTATATAGTTTACGAATCGATGTTTGTGCGTGTTCACCAGTAGTAAATGCCTGGAACATCAAAAAAAGGAACGTCAAGAAGAGAAGGACAATTTTGAATGCTGGTAGGAAGTCTTAACCCTCGTTCTTTTACATTTCATAGGTGGCATCAGTACATTCTCTTCGCATCAGATATCCCAAAGCACACTTTGGTGGTCGCTGCAATGGAAGACGACATTGTACCGAGTAGAGGTGTTGTAGAATACCTGAAGGCGAACAGCCCGGACACGCACGTATTTGAGCCTTTATTCCAACACGCACAGTTTATGACCAGCCCCGACTTTGTGAAAAAGTTGATAAGGAGGCTGGTGGCTCAGGATGCCTCAGCGACTGCCGAGAAGGCGGCTGGAACGTATTAACGTATTGATTGCGGTCAATACTTAGCTGCTGGTGTGCCAAGTGTATGCTTGTATCTGTGTTTGCACTCCATACAGGCACGTATGATACTCTGAATTTAGACAGCGCTTTCTCGTAGACTTGGGATCTGTGTGGCAACGTGATATTTTGGATATCTTACGTCTTGGAGCGCGAGAAAGAGAATGTACTCTAAAGCATGCTTCATTTCGCCAATAAAACTTAGTAGAGCTTCAATATGCTTGAGAGCAGCAGCACTATAAGAGTATCTCGGATGGCGTTTGTGAAATGCAATTGCGAAATGGGTGCCAATTGGCACTAAAGTTAATATATGGAATAAGCTGGATCGACTACAGACTGCAGACGTGTTTACACAGTCAGCAACGGGTATATACATGTCCGAATCGTTGGTATATAACTGTACTGGTTTGTGTCTATAGGGTTCTTAAAAGCTGAGGTGCAAGAGGCACATCACATCATTACCTGCTGAACTAGGGGAATGGATCCGCAGATATGTACTAGTTTGGACCTTGTAGCTTGGTTTTTCGAACAAGACTTAGATTGATGTATCTGAGTCGAGTTAAAAAAGCGACGATAAAGCCCTTTGGCCAAATGGGGGTATGCGAGATGTTCATATCTCAACAACGCCGAAAACCCGATACGACGGCGGAGATGCAGCAGATGTACAGAATATGCGGTGGCAGTGCAGTCAAGAATGGCAGAGGCGGAGTAATATGGGCCTTAAAAGATAGTGGTATAAACGTTAAAAGCTAGTGATATAGACGTTCGCTGAAAGCAAGTAATATAGACGTTCGCTAAAATCTAGTGGTATAGATGTTCGCTAAAAGCTAGTGATATAGCCGTTTGTTAAGAGCTAGTGATATAAACGCTAAAAGCTCGTGATATAGTGGTCGAGGAGACGACCAAACGAGGCGTGGAGACTAACGTCAGGCACATCTGGTGGCATATGCACAATATGGCATTCGATGAGGAATGTCAACCGCATCGTGAGCTTTGTACAGAATCTGAAACATGCCAGTCCGCAAAAGCCTGTGGGTGCGACTCCTTCCTGAGTATAGGACGAGATAGACAACTCAAACCCGGGGCTGCAGTGCTATCAGGCTCACAGAGTTCAATGTCCTGAATGCAGGGTGGATAATTGGCGTGTTTGCCGCCAAGGCGCAGATTGTGTTTCAGGTCACCGACCAGTTGGCAGCTGCGTTTTCAACGCTCTCGCTTCTGTCCACGCGCGCACACGCTTCGTTAACTTCTAGGCGTGGTGGGTCCTAAGCCCCGACACAACTCGAACGGTCACGCAGCCGCACCACCAGCAGTTTATCGCGCAACGGGCACGATTAAAGCGCGTTACAATTGGGGTAAGACTTATGAAGGTGTGGGTGGTAAGGGATCCCATCCCGAAGCCTTTGGAGTTGACAGGTGTAGTACAGATCGCTATATCAAAAGACTATGAACTTGGTTTTCAGATGAAGACAATGGCTATGCAGTTGAGGGGGAATTATATCAGAATAAGCTTGACATTGGAGTGACAAATGCAAGACTTGAGCTGACAGCTTGGTACGGTTCGATTCTCTGGGTTGTAGATTGTGTGCGAATTTGCGAAATACCACCCGACATCATTCTACAAATTGTGCGCAGGATTCGCTATTCAGTGTATATGCTACGAGAAGCGCAATTTCAGACGAACACAATAAAATTCAAACCAACTAACAAGTTCGAACAAATTTAGACTGCTCATAAATATGGTACGATGCATCGTTGGAGTGGCAAGGGATCATTCGCTCCTACGAGGTGGATACTATACTACAGACGGGTGTTCGCTATTGGCCGTATGACTGTATGGAATCTATATCACAGCCAATACTGGTACAACCGAATGAGGGAGTAAATGCAATCTACAGATATATGGCCACCCCATATTTGTCGCACCAATTCAAATTAAATTTAATATTCGCTGGAAACCCCCATAGTGCACGTTTGATAGTCGACTCCGTACACGGTTTGTAATTTGCAACAGCTTTTCGAGCTACCGGCATTCTTCATAGTTCGCTCTTCCATTCGTCACAGGGAGAACATGGAAGCTTGTGCATTTTCTCTATCCCGTCTGCCCGAGCGTAGTATATAGTTTATTTCGCCGACTTGTGCATAGTTTCCATGTGAGGCATGCGCAAGGCTTCGGCTCGCTCGTTCTTTGAGTAGGCCTTCAGTTTCTGGAACACAGAATGGTTGAACTCCTCGGGCACCTCTTTCTTGTCCGTCAACCAGTAGTATAAATCCCAGTCATTCTCATCTGTGTACCATCAAATGGAAAAAATCGATATCCCGGTTAGTAACAGGCAATTATATCCCATCTGTGCATAGAATAATTAGGATTATGTACTGGAATCGATCCAATTACATTCGGATTCGCAAATTAAAAAAGAAAGTATGAGAGAAACTTCCCTTCGTGATCTGCCCAGGTGCATGTTCGAAGGTATTTAAAACGAGAACATACACATGTGTATATAAAAGATCTACAAGATATGTGGCCAGGATTAACAACAAACGAACAACATTACTGACAAACAAATAAATACTTCCATCCATACATTTACTGAGTTTAGTGTGCGCACAGGAAAAAAAAGAAAATAATTGCATGAGCTGCGATTTCACATTCAAAGTACCATTTATCGCTAACTCACATATGTCAATGTGTCCAACTGACGGACGCTTGCGATAGAATGACCACATACAGACATTAAGCACACACACACACAAACACACACACATATATACATATACATAAAAAGATACATACATACATACATACATACATACATACATACATACATATATATATATATATATATATTTATAAACACACAAAACGCAAGATACCAAATATGTACATAAATTTTGGCTTATACAAAAATAGGGTATATGCCAAGGTAACCAAGAAATTATCATGACACAGTCGTGCGCATTGAGACAAACTTGCATGCATTATATACATTCTTTAACAAACAAAAAACGTACAAACATTCATTCTAAGTATGTATACGCACACATCTACACAAATATAGATACACAATTACGTTGATAAGCATGCGAGAATTTGCATATGTGTACGGCGTAGCATTAGTGCATCGTTTGCTACGTTTTGGGCAATTGTGCCCTCGTCGCCGGTACAGCTTCAATAAATGGCGTAATGCAGACAGATAGGCGCTAAACGCACGTGAATTCTTTATACACACAATATTTCTTGAGTGCTGGATTGCAATAGGTTTAGTCACTTACATATAGCATATCATACACATGTAGGTAGATACACATATAGGTTAATAGTTTTTAGTCACTCACATATAGCATATCGCACACATGCAGTTATATACACATACATAGTGATAGTTTTTAGTTACACCAGGGTTGGAATCGCAAAATGGGTTCAAAGCGAGGCCGTGTTGCCATAAAAAAACAATGTACCGATATACAATGCAAAAACAAGCACGAAGGTAAGCCCTACAACTAAGGGATAGTGTATTCTCGAGACCTGCTAGGATACTTCCACCGCTAACATTCGAATGCATTAGATATATCTGAAAGCTTAGGTCCAGAATATACTTTCCGAAATGAACACAAAGAAAGTACACGTGCAAACGAACAAGGAGCGCAGCAGACGACAAATGAGGATCTTACACAGTCCACAGCAGAATCCCCCAGTCCATCATCATACACAGATATACCAACAGCAAGTCGAGTACATAAAACAGAACTTCGAACAACGCAATGAAGTATGATAATATATCTGTGAACTGCCTAAGCTTACCTAACAGTTTGTCGAACAAGTGCAATTCGGCCCCGTCCATGTCGTTCAGGTACTCCCTTGCAAACGTGCTTAGCAGCAGATCGTTCTCCAGCATTCCTCTCTTTCTCACCTGATATACCAGACGTTTGCGCTTATTTTCTATGCTCTCTCCTTCCCTTGAAATAGGCGGAATAGCTGGAATGTTAACATCTTCACTCAGGTTTACGTATCCTCGTTGCGCACTTTTTGAGAGTACATACTTATTGCTGCTAATAGTCGACTTCAGAAGGGTAGATGCGAAAGTATGGTTGTGTGAACTTAATATAGGCTGACTGACGCATCGCATACAAGGCCGCAACAGAGTGCGGAATGTGGGACTCATAGTGTATACTCGCAATTCCTCTTATGCGTTTAACTAATGTGCTATTTAGTCGTGTATGATAGCTGATATATATTCGATTATATGTGAACCTTACTGCGGTTCTTATTTACTTATTCATATACAGCTTTGTACAAAAGCCATACGTAGACGCGCATCATCCAGCAACTCCGATCTCTTGCCTCTCTTGGCTTTCTTTCGATTGGAGAGTATGTAAATACCCCTAGCCTTATTACGTTTTACGTTAGAACGTATAAAAATCAATACCTGTCACGGGTACGTTCACCGTTTTCTTTGTGGTACTATATATTTAACAAGGGTGTAATGTGTGGGTTCTGAGGTGCAATAGTTAGTATCTCTGTACGTATAATAGTCCGACTAGCTTAAATATTAGATTAGACACTTTATAAACCAGGTTTACGTTTATAAAACGTTTTTTCTCGAATATCATATATGTATACCGCAAGTCCACAATAAGCGTGTATTTACGTTTAACGTATAATAAACTGAACTACCATATATTTAAAACGTAAAGAGGTTTGTTGTACTTGTACTTTCGAATCTAATTTTAGAAATGAAACGTCCAAAGGCCACCAGTCATATTTCACGTGGCACTTTAAGGTGTCATGAGTCATCATTCTGATCGGAATGATAGCCAGACTAATAAAAAAAATGGAAGTTGCACATAGTTTTAATATATAGTATTATGTGTATTCGTATGTGGAGCACTGGGTATGTATACAATATATATATATATGCATAACCACACTCTTAAATAGTAACCTGCCAATATAAGTTTGAGATTCACAACAAACACTATATCCATACTCAGAACGTCTTTGCAATTGTTGTAGGATCAACGTTACAAAGGAATACTTTAGCCGCGGACAAAAAAATCGCGATAGAATACTGAGCTGACCAGCATCCGCCTATTTGAAGCCAATAGCATTGTTCACATCTTTATAGTAACAAAAGGGCTCTTATGAAACTAAATAGATCATAACTGCGAACACACATATATGCTAATTTAGATCTTTTATATTCACCGATAGCATATAACTGGATACCAGCAGCAGTTTTTGCAAAGTAAGTGTTTCTAACATATCACCCCAAATAATCTACCTATACGGTGGGCGTGACCCTTTATTCCTTCATAATGCAAAATTCAACTGTAAAGCTCCGAACTATAGCTAGCGCCGCACCCGAGATAGCGGCTTGTTTGTCACAATTCGTAAAACCCTCACGGATACAAAAGCAAACTGATGTCTTGGCGGGGAGGAATACTGTACGTGTAGTGCTAGAGAACGCGAGTGACCCGCACAATGTTTCAGGTAAATGTGTTTTTCTACAGCTGTTTGATATTTCACGTAAACGAAAATACATAGCACATAGACATATATAACAATCATTTGTAAACGCGCATGTACACACACACACACACACACACACACACACACACACACACACACACACACACACACACACACACACACACACACACAC